ACGAGATATACCTTAAAGTTGCTCCACCGATGTTCGATGCCCGTCCTACGCCTCGTCCTCCTCTCAGTATAGAAATAGCAATTTACTTGCAAAAATCTTGTTGATTATCATGCAACATTTTATACGATACGTAAGTATGGTACGATATAAGTATTCTCGAAGCGTACTTACATAAGAATAAAGATAATACGCATAGATATCATCGCACGGATACATTTGGTATTCTGTAGAAAACAACAGAAGGATATTTGTAAGAAATAATTTTATCTCACCAAGTGGCGAGAGTGAATTTGAAGGTTAATTGTAATGAGAGAGTAATAAAAGTGTAATATGGAACTTGTTAGGATGATTGAAATGATAAAAATAACGTACCAATATGCTCCGATACACGATCTGCCCAGTACGAGTATCGCCTTGCAAAAGATAACAGAATAATACCAAAAATAAGATCGCACAAATTTAGATTTGAAAGAATCGTGGAATGTACGCGCTAAAATGTACGCTGAATGTAGGGTATAAACGTGAAAGAGAGAGAGAGAGAAAGAGAGAACACTAGTTTCGAGAGTGAGCCGTATGGTGGGGTTGTTGTCGCGCGTGACGTAGCCTCATATTCTCTCTCACTCTTTCTCGCTGTTTCTTTCTTGCGCTGTGTGTCGTCGCGCACATTCTTCGTATACCTCCAAATCAAAATTTGTGCGGGACCTTGTTTTTGCTGTTATCCTGTGGCTAGTGTCCTGTGTCTTCCGCAAGCGATAATCGTACGGAGCGAATCGCGTATCAGGATGAATCGGTGCGTTATTTTTATTATCTTAACCATCCAAATAACTTCTGTTCTATACTCTTTTTACTACTCTTTCATTACAATTAACCTCAAAATCACTACCCCGGTGAGATAATTACTTTTTACAAATATCATTCTGTCATTTTCTATAGAAAGTCGAACGTATCCATGCGATAATATATTCGAGTATTATTTTTCTTCTTATATGATAAAGTACGCATCGCGGGAGTGCCGTATAAAATGTCGAGCGATAGTAATTAATCAGATTTTCGCGAGTGAATTGCGAGTGAATCGTGTTCCCTTATGCTGAGAGAATGAGCAGGCTCAGGAGGAGCATCGGGCATCGGCGGAGCAACTTTGAGGTATTTAACGTTCATTTATTATCTATTAATTGTAAAATATTGGAAACAACATTGTTGTTTAAAAGACGAATAAAAGGTTCAATGTGCGCAACTATATTTTTAATACTAATTAATTTAAAGTTTGCTATAAGCAGAATGTTCTTTTGTCTTTTACAGATCAACGGAACAAAAACTCCGCTGCTGCGCATCGTGCCGGTAAGTTCAAAAAATTTTGTACTTTAATCTTATTAAGAAAATGATAATAAAAAGGATACACAAAAACGCAAGTTGTTTTCGGATTTCTCGCACAATCGGATGAGAAATATAATTTGCGCATATGCGAGAGTACGTATAACATGAAGGTATAATAATATAATAAGGTATAATAATTATAAAGTATAATATTGTCGTTGACACTGTGACGAAGAATCGATAAATCCTTTTGAAGAGAAAACCTGGGACTGGATAAAAATCGGTAACGATGTAATATATTCTCAGAAAGATCAAACCAGTTCCAAGGTTTGCACGCACTTATATAATTAATTCTATTTTTATTTTTACAATTACGCTTTATTCATCTTTATTATCAAATGTTTTATTTCCATTTAATTCACATCATGTACCACATGAAGAAATTATAAAAATTTTTACTATGTTTTTCACATAGTAAACATGTGAAACATAGTAAAACTTTTCAGTCTATGGTTACTGCCGTACATAGTAATTGTTGATATCAAATTTTCTCCATGTTTAAATCCGTAAATTTAGTTTTGTTTGCAATTGTTTTTACAAAAAATCTATAGCATATCATAAGATATAATGTAATATTTACATACGTTCTACTATATTTTCGGGATTTAAAATTTATAACAAAAAATGGATGCGGGCGATAATCAATGCACTATTAAATACTTTGTCATGTTGTGCATTTATTTGATTTCATACGTTTGTTACAAATATATTGCACTCTACGCCTTTATTTTTACTACAATTTTAATTAACAGCAAAAACTACATAAACATAAAGCAATGATTATTTTTATACGCCACCCTTTGCACATTTTTCTGAGTACATTTGCGTGTATAACTTTAACAGTTTAACTTCTAAAAATTTAATCATCTTAATAAAAGAAATTTAAATATATATATATTTTTTAATTAATTAGAAATTTTAACAAAAGAAATCTACATCTACTTATGTAACCTTTGGCAATTTTTATTTTGTTATTTAAAAACATTTTATTTTTAAAAGAATTGTAAAACATGCTATATTCAAAGTTTTTCTATTCTTAAAATCTTAAAAATCTCAAAGGAAGAGAAAATTAATCTCGCATTATTCTACGATTCTCTCGATTTTTGAAATTTATTTAGCAAGGTGATATGAATATTTCATATTTAATATCAAGCTAACAATTTATCGGCAAAATAATTTTAAATCATCAGATTACGAATGCAAAAACGGTTTCGAGTGCAGATAAGAGCGGTCTTTAACGTATGAAGAATACGTAATGCATCTAGATTAATTACTGACGTTTGGAGTAGTGACCACATTTCCTGCAGAAGTCCCCGTTGTCGTCGTTTCCTTCGTTTCTCTGTCCTTTCATCAACTTCTCCCTCAAAATTCGTACAGGCTCCAAATCGCCTGTATACGGCCGATGGCCGAAAGCAGCTATAGTTTCACTTCTGGGGAAGCCTACATCAGCCGCCGCAATGGTCACCGTGTTATCGCCATTGTCCTCAGTATCGATATTGACGATTGAACCGTTTACTACTGCGTAATTCGAACCAGTCTTTGAAATAGATACTTTCCTCTTGCTCGTTTCAGAGTTATCAAATGACTCGTCTACAATAATCGTACTGTATTTTGCAGTATATATTCTTCATATTTATTATTTGAAGTAAGGAATATGCTTACCATTATCGATTTCATCCAGTTTATCGATATCAGACATTGACTCATATGCCGCGGTATCTTCATCCTCTTTCATTAATGGTAACTCGGTAGGAGGATCCGAGAGTGGACGGCTGCAAACATATCCCTAAGACACATGCAATATTGTCGAGTTATTGATAACAGTTACAAGTTTGTATTATAATTTAAATCACAACGTACAAACATAAAAATTAAGGATTAATTTCATGAGCCAAATGTGTGTGTGTTTTCTGTCAAAAGGATTAAATTTACCTGAACAAGATCCATACGAGAATCCAAAGAAAATTGTTTGCCTGACATTAGTATTCCGCGAATACGACGACGCATGGCTAAAATCACAAACAGAGATGGCATAAGATAATATCCAGGCTAAACGTTAATTTGATAACGATACAATGTTTAATATAAATTTATGCACACATTTTTTTGTTTTTGTAATACCATTTAATTAAAATACATTTTAATACATTAGAAGTGCGCAATTAAAATGTTTATTTAATAATATAATTTCAATCACATAACACTCCCAAGCACTTACCCGGACTATCTCTTGCCTCAAGATGAATTTTCCCAAAAGTCTTCATACATTCCTCAAATACGTCAGCCGTGTCATATATGGCGGCGAAACTACCGTTCACAATTTTCGGCGACATCGGCGAATTTGCCAATAGCAAACTTGATCCAAAATTCTCATTCTTCTGCCGTGTGTCTGCAGATCAAAATCCGTAAAGATTAATTTTGTGTTTAGTAGCAACAAATATTTATAGTAAATAAAAATTGTTTTAAATATTTCCGACACAAAAGAAATGTTTGCAACTTACCTTTGAACAGTGTAATGTGTATCGAATAAATAGACAATGTGTTCATAGTCTAATGAAAAAATAAAGAAAGCAACATGTGAGCAAAATAATTATTTACTAGCAGTACTTGTTTGCATTACAACTCAATAAATCATAAATCGATAATCAGACTTAAATACAAACAATATTTTAAAATAAACATCAAACATAAACTTGCATTACGTAGAATTTCAAAGAAAAATTAATTGATTATATAAAAATGTAAAAAAAACTTTTCTTAATGTAATATGTATGTAATCATACTGTGAATGTCATATAAATCATATAAATCATATAAATCAAATCAATTAAGAAAAATATTTTGCACCACAAGTGAGATATTTTTACTTTAAGTGTAATAAAATATAATTACTTTAAGTTACATCTACATAAGAAAAAAATTCGCAATTTAAAATTAATGCATAAAAATTACAAGCAAAAGTCACGAAAAAAATGTACGCGTTACTTTTGGATTACACCTCGTACATTTATAAACCTTCATGCATGTAAAATCAATTTTGTAGACAAATTATTATATCTTTGTATACAAGATAATTTTTATTTTTTATGATACTTCTATCACATATAAAATATATAGATATAAGCAATGTGGTGCAAAATTTTTTCTGCGCATTGTTTGGTTAACGATTCATGATTTATGTATATTTATATATGTATATATGTATATAAATCTTATATTTTTCGCTCATTTTGACGTGACTTTTCTTTTCCAAAAGAAAAATTTGACACTATTCTCGTTATGGATTCCTCTTCATTAAGCCATCCAAATATGTCTATGAAGTTAGCACCGCTATTTTAGAAAATTTAAAAAACAAAAGTTGTGCTAGATTGTGCTAGGTTTGTGCTACGTTGTGCCGCAAACCGCACTTCGATATCTCCAAAAACTACTCGAAAATTCGAAAAAAACGATTTTAAGGCCCAGCACCGCCATTTGTCAGAATGAAAAAATAATG